CAAATGTGAGATGTCATATTTTTGATGCCGCTTTCCTCTGGTTATAAATTATAGATCAGGTATTTTGGTTTCGCCTGAAAATTCACAACTTCAATTAATGTTTACAATTTTAAAAAAGATTTTTTCAGATGTTATTTTTATTATTAAACACATTTAAACAAATATTACATTTTACAAAATCTTTACATTTTACTCATTGATGCATTGATTTAAATCGTAAATGGTTGAATAAGATTTACATTTAAGTGGGTTTGCTTGACGTGCTAGATTCGATGCACAGAGTTATGGATAAACTCACATACTGCGCCAAACAATGAACGAATTCTCTCAATTTCGTATAAAATATTACTACATTTTATTATGCATTAAATATTTTATTATTTAATAATATTTATTATTTTTATTACTGCTATATTTTATTACATATTATTTTTAAAAAAATATCAAAGGGACAAACACCAGCGTCAGTTTTAATCGGAATATTCAAGTTAAGAGCTATTTGAAAGAAATGACTGGAAATTTTCAAAGGAACACTTTCTTTTTTAAAAGTAAATAAATCAAACAGTTTTGACCTTTAAAAACAGAACTTGTTTTGATAGTGCTTCTCTGTTCCGTACTTTTAGCACTTTCCTCCTCCCTATAAAACATCACTTTGCGAGTCACCCATTTCCCCCCTCCCCTTCCTCTGGAGACTAGGAAATCCTCTCCTTTCTGCTTATCCATGCTGTTTCACTGACCCTTCCTCGCTTCCCCCTACCATCAATAGCTGTAAAACAAAGATAAAATAAAACTGGGAATGAGATTGATTGGTAAATATTATGCTTTTACTCCCCGTAGGTTTCCGTTCGGGAAATCTGTTCTGATAGCTTAATAACAACTGCAAATAAGTAAATTAATGAATATTGTTTATCGTTCGCTAATGATCGTCAATATGCGTTTAAGAATTCGATATTTTGTTGTTCGAGTTTAGAAAATGCAAATAATTATTGTTATCTGTCTCTGCGCATCTCTAAAAATGGGTTCGTCATCCGAGTTTGAGTATTTGAAATCATTTTCTTTTTTAAATTTGTTCTTGGTAATGCACCTTATTTGAGAATTTAAAATTAATTTAAAATTAATTAAGTTCCTGAAACATATTTAAATTTCTTGAAAAAATTTATTTTTGAGCTGAAATCCCATTATTATTTGCAAAAAAAAAAAAAAAAAAAAAAACATTTTTCTTTTAGTTTATTCTGTTTAAGCGTTGGAAAATTCTGTAATCAGGAAATGTGTTGAGATTAGTTTTTAGATATTGCACTGAATAATTTGTTGCAAAATCAAGGTAAAAAAAATTTTTAAAAAAATTATTTCTTTTAAGTGGCGGATTAACATAATAACTGAAAGAAATTCCAATAGGCAGTGGGAATAATATGAATTTAAAATTGATTGTCATTAAACAAAAAATAGATCAGCAGATTTATCTAGTATAGTGCGCAAAAAAATAAAAAAAATAAACGGATCCTAACATTCGGATTTTCACGTTCTAGGACTCAATCGTAATGGTTCAAGGGCGTGATCTCAAATATACTAACTAATTAGTGCGGACGATTATTTAAGTTACGAGATCGGACACAAAACGTACTTTCTCTAAATAAACATACCTTTTTTTATGGATTTGATTTTCTGACAACCAAAATATAGGGGTGGTCGCAATCTGGGAAATATGGAAATATGGTCTCAATAGTTTGGTCCGGAGAACACTCCAAAGTTTGGAAACTTTAATGTTAATTTTACTTTTTGCGTATTTCCCCATATCTCGAGAACAATTTTAGCGAATTGAAAATTTTTGCACGCGATTATATAATTTTTTAATCCTAAGATACTTCCATGCAAAAAATAACTTTTAGTAAATATTTATTATTTTTTATGCATCTAACAAAATATTAATCCCAAGACTCAGATTCACTCAGGTTCATGGCTGCAAGAGAGAAGGTCGCGAGTTTGTGGTTTGGAAATACTGCTGAAATATAACACAAGCGAAAAACAACTGCAGAAATAGTATAATTAACTAAAACATCAAAGTTTAGGAAGCCTGTTTCAACATTTTAACACAGATTGAACACCAGTGTCCCGCTAATATATGTATCTATTTTTTTTCCGGACCCTCTAATTACAAGCAAAAATATATTTTGTTATAATTTTAATTATAAAAAACAATTTAATAGTTACTTAAAAAACAAATCTGTTCGACTATTGAAATTATCTTTGTACTAAAATATAAAATCCATAAAAAGTAGTTTGAAATTTTTTTTTTTTTTTTTTAAATTCATATTCAAAAATGTATCGATAACTGATTTTGTAAATTAAGGAAATTTTAATGATAAATAACTGTTTCTTTTGAATCTAAATAACTTCAAATTTGAAGAAATTATTGTAAGGAAGTGAACCATGTTTGCAAGATCTTGCTTTTTCAGTTTCACCGGTGTTTCATGCCGTATTTCATAACTGTAACTTATTAAAATTCTAAATTTAAAAATTTTCACTTATTTTGACCAAAATTAATACAAAATAATGTAAAAAGTAAAAAAATGTGTTTAATAAAAATTCTGCTGTGAAGGGATAGATAGAATAACTAAATTGCCTAACTTATAAAATTACATGAACAATCGCATTAAGAAAAAAACTATTAATTTAAGAGAATAACAAAAATAGAGATTGAAGTACAATTGAATTTACTAGGCATTATAATAAATTAAGGGGAGTCCGTAGGGCATATACCAATAATGTTAGAATGGATTTTTTTCGATGTACCTTTTCTCAGCATCTAAACAAGAAGTTGCTTTAGTTTTTTTTTGGACAGAATATTTGCATGCACATGTTTACACTGTGATAACTGTTAATACATATCTTTCGCAGAAATTTAAAAAAAATAAATAAATTATAAACTGAGAATTTTTAATTTTTGAAAACAGTTTCATTTTGCGCAAAAATCTTTCTTTACTCATGAAGTATTCCTGTATAAACTAAAACATTGTCTCAGCATACAGCGGATATAATCTCAAATATCTCCAAAAAATGTAAAAACATGATAAGTAGTTTCTTAGCAAAGATACATCGAAAAAGATCAGTTTTAACATTATTGATTTATGCCCTACAAACTCCCTTTAAATATTACAATGTTTTGCAATAAATTAAGTGTTACGATGTATTGTAGTAAATTAAATATTACAATAAATTAAAAGATAATTATTTGATTACGAAAAAACAATAAATATTTAACAATTATGGAACTTTTGTTGTCAAAAATTACGATACCTGCTCTCCTGTCATGCTAAACTATTTTTCCAAAACTATTTTTTAGACAAATACGAATTTTATTTTAAAACCTGAACTAAGTGGTTTATGAGCATAACAATAAAAGCGATGACATACGTACTTTTACTGATGATAAATATATAAATTATATAAAACTTTTCAGTCTACTGATTTCAAAATTTTTGTTTTGACCAAAGTTTGATGCCATACATTTTGTTACCGCCTCTTTCTGCCTTGTCCCAATCTGATATATTTGTATTATATCATTTGTATACGGCTTTGTACTTTAAAAACTGCAAATAAAAATAATTATTTTTTTCAAATAGTTCTTAGTAAAAAAATTGCTAATTAAAAATATTATTTTAATCGAAAAAACATTAACTTAAATACTTCTAAAAATATACCAATTAAAATATCAAATAGAAACTGTTCATCAAAATCATAATCCCTCACCCCTTGTATGATATCAATTGTAAACGGCCCCATACTTCAAAAACTATTGATAAAAATAATTTTGATTAATTGATAAAAATTACTAATTAAAAGATTTAATTTTTATAGAAAAAAAATTTTATTTTAAAAAATAATACTTCCAAAATTATAAGATTAAAATATTAACTTATAAAAACATGCGATTAAAAACATTACTTTTAAGAAATAACTTAAATTAGCAAACAGCACTTAATATGTTTCGCAACAAACCTGTAATTTAATATGCTTTAATACTAATAAACCTAAACGAGTAATGCAATACAAATGAGTAACGTCAACTTGACTCGATCTTCTAAATCGATAAAAATCTTTCAGCTATAAGCTAAAGTAAAATGAAAAGCCTCATACGTATAATTTTTTCTTTTCCCTTTTTCTATTCTTTGTTTGAAAGTCGATATTACACCGCCAAGTTGAAATGTTTTCATTCCTTACGTTGGCTGATTTTATTCCCGCCATCTTGAAACTTAGTGAAATTTTTTTGGCATTATTTATTAACAACGTGACTTAATGAGTTATAATTAAAATAACATAATTTTTAATAAAAATAAATTAATTAAATGACTAAACTGAAACAAATGAATAAATAAATAAATGAAGTAAATTAAATAAAAAAAATTTGAACAATTAATATAAAATAAATAAATATATGAGTAAAATCAAATTTAAGTATTGAAATTGCAACATAGTAAAACATCATTATGCCACATCTTGAAGTAAATTTCCAAATAATGCTTAATAGTCTTATTAAAATAATTGTAATTGAAAAAATTAAAAAAAAAATTGAACCTTTCTATTTTTGAAAATATATTAGATATGCGAGAATAATTATATTTATTATTATTATTATCTTATTAACTGTTTATATTTTTTAATATTTTAATTTTTGATTGAAAAAAGCATCTTAGAAATTTCAAAAAAAATACGAAAAGGATTTGATTACGCATCAGAAAACTGTAATGTTTGAAATTAACAAGAAATCTTGCAAAATACCACATCCAATCTAATCTGGCATTGATCTTCTTTTTTTATATCAATTTAAAAGATATTATTATTTACAGAAAGCAGAAATCATTTGTTTACGGGTAGAAATAAAAAAAAACGTCGAAAAATAAATACAAATATTGTGCTAGTTGACTTTAAAAGCGAGTCCTTTTAAATAAGCGATAAAGGAGCCATTTGAGGTAAACCCTAGTTTTCTATCTTGAGAAGGGGAGAGAGAGATTGCGCAAAGCATCTTGGGATTGATAACTGACAGAACGAGCGGCCGCTCGCCCTCTAGGATATTGTTTGCAATTTGTTTTTATTTATACGGTGGTCTTTTGGCGCTGTGAGAAGTGGTTATGTCAATTCTTCTTTGCGCCAGATTCCGTGCGGATGTTTAAGCATGCGTTTCAATAAAACTGCGCTTCTCTGATTCAAGGATAATGGAATATTATTAATTTGTGCAACATATCGGGAATTTATTAATCATTTATCCTTTTGGTGAGGTTATGTTAAGGTTTATCAAAATAAACTGGATTTCATAAATGCGTCAATAATAATTTGTCGCCAATGGAGGCGCAATCGCCACAGGTAAATATTATTATATTTTTTAAAAATCGAATTATATAGAAATGAAAATATTTAATTTTTTCCGATTGCTAAATTAAAAATTGTTCGTTTTAAAAAATAAATAAATGTATGATGTTTTAAACTTGAATATTTATTTTGATAACATGAGCGCATATTTTTATGAATAAATATTATTTATAACATTTCAATATTTAAATTTTAAATTTGTAGTTATTTTTGAAAAGTTTGATGTATATTTAGTATAGTCACATTAATGTTTTATTTGCTTTTTAAAATTCGTATTAAAATGTTTATTTTATTAAAAATAGTTTAGCTTTTTTTAATAAGTTGATTTTAAATTGTATCAATTTGTTAAATTTAAAATATTTATATTAGCTTGAATAGGTATTGCATAGCTCAAATTTGCGTTCTAGTTTCTAGTAAATCTTGGTAATTGTGAAACTTTTATATTTTTGTCATAATATTTTAGAAATGTTAAAAATATATGAATAAATGATTAAAGGCGATTATATATATATTATTTGATAAATATATAATGTGCCAACATCGTGACTATGCTATCTTAAGTTATTTATTATACTGTGTTAATTTATATTTAGATTTGCTGATTTAAATAAAAAAAATATCAAAATATGTAATTGGTTCATCCCTAGTTAGCTATCATGCAAATTAAATATTCTTAGGATTCAAAATGGCGGAATTTAAGTTTGGTATTTTAAAACTACTCGTTATACTAAATAGATCTTTGTAATTGTTTTAAATTGAGAATCGTATTTTTTTTTAACCATTCACGAGTAGCTAATATTTTGAATTTTTTTTAAAAATATTTGTTAATGGTAATTAAAATTCTATTTTAATTGATGTTGTGAATTTAAAAGCTTAAAAAAAATAATACAAAAATTAACTTGATTAATCTGGTTAAATAGATTTGCAATAATTATAAATAATAAATAATTTTTTTTAAGAAGATTTTTTACCATTTATTTTCTAAATAATTCATCATCTATTTTTAATTATTATTCATAGTTTGTATTAATTTGAAATAGCAAAAGATAATTAGCGAGATAAATCAATATTTAAATACAACTTTCAAAATTATTTTTGATTAAACTTTCAAATTTTTCTATAATTTTTGCTGATTATTTTATATTTAAATCATCACGTTTTTTTCTGCTTCTTTGTTTATTATTTTGCTTTTCGACTTTGCAAATTCGAAAATATAACGGATTATTGACGGAGATAATTCAGAATAATTATTAAAAAAAAGAAGCTTTTAGAAAGGATAAATTGAAAGTCGATGAGTTATTGTATTCGCGTTCCGAAGATAAAGGGGGGGAACGAAACGGTCTAGTGAGGGTCGGGGGGGGGGGAGGAGAGGAGAATTCAACTCTATCGGTAGGTCGGGTTGTTGAGTTAAGAATCCCATCAGTTTGAGTCTGGATTTTGTGCTATGTGCATCGTGTTATTTTATTGTCTTTGTTCTAAATGTGGATTTCACAGTTTACAGGTGTTCCTTGCGGTCAGTATAAATCTCACACCTTTTACAGTGGATTCAAATACAGCAACAAACAAGGAAAGTGTAAAAATTTGAAATTGGGTGATTTTTTCTTTGTGAGGATTTCTGCAGAAGAAGATCCTTGCATTGGTGAACTACAGTTATTGTGTTCTAATAGGAATAATGACCAACAGTTGTCGGCGCTTAGGTTATATTTTTTACCGGAGCAAACTCCGGAAGGACGACTAGCTCATCATGGGGAGGTAAGTTGTTTTATTGATTTTTTATTAGCGCTGTGTTTATTATCGTTTGCGCTTTGGATGTTATCGATTCGTCGCATCTTTAATATCGCATTCTTCTCTAATTATAGATTAGCGTGTTTTGTGATAAGGTTTTACGTAATGCGCAGTGTAAATGCCTCGTTTAATTTGTTCTTTATAGATTTTTATTTGTTAGCATTATTATGTTGAACTCTTAACGCTTTGTTTTTGTTACAAATTTGCATATTAAATTATTTATTTCAAATTCATGCATATTTTATTTTAGTTTAATTAAATGACTGTTTTTAATTTATGGAATTTCGGATTATATAATAACTAAGCTAATATAGTTTTTTAAGGAGATTATTATTTATTAAATATTATCATCACAATTTCATTTTTTTAAAATTTATTTATTCTATTGAAGTAAGCAATTTAGTTAATTGCATTTTTAATTTTAAAGATTATTGCTAGTTTTATTTTTTTATAGAAATATTGTGAAGTTTACATTTAATTATAAATAATTCTTACTTTTAATGACAAAGGGGTTTAATCTAATCTATATAGCAGTAGAAGATGCCTAAAATTTATGAGTCATTGATTAAAAGCTAGTTTTATATTTTATTTAATTAGTTCTTTAGTGTTTCTGCACTATAAACTTTTTTAATTGCAAGTTTCATATGTCTTTTTTATGACTAATGCATTTGATTTATTGAAATGTGTGTTATTATCAATTAAAGCTCAGTTTATTCAGTGCTAAATCTAAAAATATTTATTTGAGAGTTTAAATATGTTAATTTTTATGTAAATGTAATTGTTTCTTATGAGCCAATAAAAAAGAGATGAATAAATCTTCAGTTTTCTAAAGACCATGATAAGATTTTTGCAAGTCCCATGGGAGGTGCAAACTTCATTTCACTAGGGGGGGGGGCTGCAATTTTTAGATACAAATTTAAAGTTTTATCTCAAAGTTCTAAGTTCATGCTAATTAGATTATATTTAAGTAAACGCCACTGAAAGTGTGAAGATTATCGTTTATAGTACCATATATTAATTTTATGTATGCAAAATCTGTTTCTTTTAATTTCAGTTTCATTAACATCGACTAATTTTAAACAATTTTCAATTTTCTAAGCTGATTTAAGAAATTATCTACAAAGTGTTATTACACCGTATTGTTAATTAAATTTTTTAATATTTTAATAATTGTGTTTTTCATCGCATGATTATTTTATTTATGAGTATTTATTATTTGCGTGTTTTAATATTTTTTTACTGTAATTTAAATTGTATCTTCACTTAAAATATTTTACAATTTATTTGAACTTCTATTCTTAAAACACGTTTTTTAAATTGTGTGTTTAAATGGATTAAATATTACAGAAGCTGTGAATTATGATTTTTATTTTGACTATAAAGTATATTGTCTGAAATTTTCTTTTTTGAGTTTTGAAATATTTATTCAGAGGAAATAGCTGGTCGAGTAACATCAAAAAATCAATAACTCTGAATCAGATGTTTCATCCGGAGTAATATATTAGAAATTTCTCTAGTACATATTTATATTATCTGCAATATTGATTATTCGTCCCTGCATTATTGAGCGTTTCCTAGTGTCATCTTTTCTTGATACTTTGTTTCATGAAGCGTTTGTAATATTTTTTCCTCTCTCGCTAAGCGGATGGGGGTAGGGTTGCTATAAGAATGGATTATTGCTTTAGAACTTGGGAATGCTTAAAATGTGCCATTCTTGGTATTTTATGATTAACTGTTCTATAATTTTTGATGTTTTATGGTTTAAAAAAAAATTAATCCGATATTGAGTTTAATCATTTAGTATCGACGGATTATCAAGAATAAATATATTTTAATAATAATTAATAATTTGTTTATAATTACTTAAATTTTAAATTATAATTTAATTAATTTATAATTTAATTATTCGCATGATTAGTTTATAATGTCTTTAAAAATTTAAACTTAAAAAAAATTTGAAATTTGAACCCACGTTTAAAAATTATAATAATAATTATAGTTTTAATTGATCATTATTTTAAATTTTAGATGTAAAAGTAGTTTAATTTGAATTTAAAAAGTGAAAAATTATTGTTAATAATTTTTATTAAATGCCTTACGATAATTAGATTGCAATTACAATTTACGATAATTAGACTACGATTTTTTATTTAAGGGGCAATATTTTTTATTTGAGATAAGATTTCTCAATATTCTTTCTTACTTATTGTTCAAATCTAGTTTTCAGTTATTTAAAATTTTTATTGTTGCACTTATATGCAGTGGCAAGTTCATATCCGAAAAATTTCTTAACGACATTAAACACGCATATGTAAAATCCTTTTATGACCAAATAATTCGAGTTATAGATATTTTAGATTGAATAAATTAAAAATAACATTGCATTTAAATTCTTGTGTAACATTTTTATCTTCCTTGCCTTGTTCTAAACTAAGATTTTTATTTGATTTATTGTTTAATGATCCTCAAATCTTGACCAAAAAAATTGTTTTCGTTTTTACATGTATGGCTTTTTTTTTTCCTCCTTAGAAGAATATTTTGTTCCACATAAATACTGGTTGTATTATGACAATCGACTCAGAAATCGCCCAAGCCTATCTTAATGTTTTTTCGACTCCGCCTGTATTAGGTTGTGTGTTCGTGTTGATTAATGTTTGAACGTGATTTTCAAGTTTAGGTCTATAATTGATGTGCCTAGTTCTGTCTTTTTTTTCTTTCAATATTCGTTTCTATTTTTTCTATGTATTGAGTGAATCCCGATGATCAAATTAATGTCCTCAGTACTAAATGTTTAATAGTTTTTTTTTTTAATTATTAAGGTTAACCACTCAGAAATGAAAACGATTAAAAAGAGTTGTTAGCTTGTAAAGTTGGCGAATTCTTCTCTTTCGTAGCAGAAGTGAAATTTAAATAAATTTTTTTATTAAGTATTTTTTTATTTTATTTTTTTGTTAATTAGACAGTGAATAAGTAATTACAAGTAGAACGACATAGGCTTGTACAATGATCGATTGTTGTGTTCGGGTTCATTACTTTTTCATGTTTCAATTTCCAAGCTTCAATTAAGTAAGAGCTACAACTTTTTTAAGTTATTTGTTTAGAAAATAAAAATGAAGTCGTCCCCACTTAATTTGCATATCGGATAATCGAATAACCCACTTATACGAAACCAAATCATTTCACATTAAATTTTCTGGTTTAAGTGGATCTTTGTTGCTTCCAGTCCTCGCTTAATTGCATAAAGATACTGAAATGAAAAAATCTGTTTATTTTTAAGAAATGTTTCACCAAAAATGACAGTTAAGAAGATAATACCGAAGGGGTCAGTTAAGAAGATAAGAATACAGAAAACTGGTCACTTCAATAAGGACTTCTTGTTCATTTGTTGCCCTGAACAGGTGTTAGGAGTGTAGTTAAAGAATTAAAATCTTACAGGCAGAGTTATACATTGTAGTGAATGAAGGTTTTTTTACTTCAGTCACACATTATTCAGAATGTAAAAAGGTACAGAGTGATTTGTTTCACAGTGAAGACTTATGGTCCCCTCCTATTGTGCTGTTAGTTTTGATCAGAAAAAGTTTCAAAAATCTAACACACTAGCCTACAGTGTGTCTTTTCTAAAGTAGAATAATCATTGCCTACCCCAGTGAATACAAGATGAGTGTGAAAAGGAATGATTTGAAATAATCAAAAAGGGAAAAAATCGAAGTTTTGGAAGACATAATTTCAAAAATCACAGATTGAAATAGGAAATTAATTTGGAATTTCTCAAATTTCAAGGGTAAAAAGAAAAAAAAGAAATTGAAAATGCACTTCCTTTTTAATCGAATAACCCACATAAATAGTACTGGTTGGAACCAATGGTACTCCTTAAAGCGGGGTCGACTGTATCAAATTATAGTTTCTATTAGTTTTCATATTCATAAGTTTTAAGAAGTAAATTAAATATAAAATTAGTATTTTTGCACGTCTTATCCTTTAAAATATTTATAAAATTTTTGCTGCATATAATGAATAAAATTAAGAAGGATTATTATAATAATTAAATTAAATTATTATTTTAATTTGCTATAATAAAAACAATGAGATATTTTGTTAGAATAATATTTTGTAGTGGCAAAACTCCTTATTGAAAGCAATTATATATACAAAGAATATACTGGTGATTAAAACACATTTTGTTTTAAAACCTGTGACTAAATATTATTCATGAGTTTCCGACAGAAATTCGCTTTTTCTTTATAGTTAGCAAGTGTCAAAAATGGTCACGTTGCTAGAGTTCCCCTTGAACAAATCTATTCAAATATTTTTAAAAACCTGTTTAAAGGGTTTGCAAGATCAGTTTTTTGAAGATGAAAAAAATCGTAACTCATCTACTCCCATCAGTTCTAACAGAGTTTCAAACAGGAACTAGAATAAATTTCAAATTTTATTTTTTACATCCTCACTTCATAGAAAGTTATGGATATTTTTATTTCGTACCATTGCATAGTAAGACGTGACGTATATTAAACAAAATAATAAAAGTTTTTTTTTCTTCTAAAAATTGATTTTTCGAATCAGCGGCTAATTAAATGTGAGTTGTATTATCATTCATTGCTTTTTTTTTAGAGCATGTGGGGATGTGATAGTGGACACATGAGATAATAAAACGACAACATCACGAGTTCAATTGCAATTATATATCACTCTGTAATTCAATAAAACATGTCATTTTTTTTATTAATTTGTTTGTTTACACGTTTGCTTATGTATTTTGGATTCGAGGTAATTACGGAATTACTTATAAGTAGTGCATTTCAAATTAATGATGCGGCATTATAAATGAAACAAAAAAAAAACAGTTGAAACTAAAACTACGAAGATTTATCGCAAAATCGATAATACTATAAGTTTTACATCATTCTTAAATATTCAACAACTCTGGGAAATAATGATAAATTCTTCTCTAATAGTTCCTTAGCGTA